GATGGATGTATATACGGATTGTGCTAAGCGTTGTATGAGCTCCCAATAAAATGATTAAAAAAAGAAAATGCGTCTGTCTCCAGCAATGGTCATACATTAAAAGGAGCATAACAGCTACTTGGATATTTTATGTCCCAGTACTTACTTGAATTAACTGATTTATTTCACAAATTTATTAACTATTATTAAATATATTAGTTATACTTACAAGGAACAATAAGTTTGTAAGCTCAGGACTGTATGTATCTACACACCTGTTGTCCCAGCACAATCATTATTACCATTTACTCTGGTTTGACTGACCCAAACTCTCATTGCTTGTTCAAATATCATCCAGTCACTAGGGATTTACTCTGTACAAGTGAATAATCCAGTATTGTTTAATCTGCTCCTCTCAATAGTGTTTTAAAATTAGTACCAAGGGCTAAATCAATGACACTATTAACAAAAGGTCCTTAAGCTCCATTAATACAATTCTGTACCATAAATTAATAAGTATGTCCCTTAGGGGAACCAGAGGCAGATAAAAACCACAAATTCAATAATGGATTGGAGGCTCACACTTAATCCTAGCCCCAAACTAAGAACAATTAGTGGCCCTGCTCAATACTGGCCCTCATGAAGGAAACACTGAAGATATGGGTGCTATTCCGGACTATCAGACAGAACAGTGACTGGGGTCTTAAAGGCTTGTTTCCAAACAAGCAGCCATCTAAGTCATCCATGTCAACTAAGTCCATATGGAATAAGCACACCAACACCTGTGATCAAAGGATTGTAAATTATATAATCCAAATCTAAGGAGGGCGCAGTGTCAGAGCTATAAGTGTGAGATTCTGGTGTGCTGTGGAAGCCAAAATTCATTTTCAGGCTCTACACTGGGAATAAGCCTCTGGTGGTTTCCCTATAATCACAATTGTGCGATGGGAATAACCTCTATAGTAGATTAAAATGATAAATTTGACTTGAACAGTTAACACCTTGTCCCTTGACCTCCCCTCTGATACATTTGGGTTTGATCTGGTTTTTAATATTTTCTGTACCTTTTTTTTCATATTGGGGTTTATCTCTGTTGTATTTTGTCATTGTTGGTAGCCTTCTTGAAACTTTGTGCTATCTATATTATCTTCTGAAATAGTGGTCAAAACTCCTAGCAAATATGAAATTATAAATTGGTCTTCCAAAATGTTTGCAATTTCTAGAGCTGTACATCTAGATTTAACTCGTAAGTAATTAAAATAAATTTGGTTGAACTTCTGCAATTCTTGATTTTAAAAAAACTAGCTTTAACTTTTTAAAACGATCATTTTCATTTAATAATTCCCTAAAAATATTTAAAGTACTACAAGAAAGTCCAAACGTATACTTCAACAATATATATTCTTGGCATTCAAACTGTCAATCATGTTACAGAAATTGAATGGTGACGTTAAAATTTAGCCTTCCCCATTTGTATAAAGTTCTGATAGCCCAGTGGTTCTCAACCTTCCTAATGCTTGGACCCTTTAATAAAGTTCCTCATGTTGTTTTAAAGAACTGCTGTTTTAAAGAGTTCTGCCACGTCACTTTGTAGCTGAGCAAGTGGCTATCACAGCAGTTTTCAACCTGTGGGTCATGACCCCTTTGGGAGTTGAACGACTTTTTCACAGGGGTCGCCCGATTAATAACAGTAGCAAAATAAAGTTATGAAGTAGCAACGAAAATAATTTTATGGCTGGAGGGGTCATCACAACATGAGGAACTGTATTAAAGGGTCACGACATTAGGAAGGTGGAGAACCACTGCTTTAAAGCATTAAAGTTCCTTAAACCTAAGGCTAAATCTTGAATACATTATTGAATTCTTCAATATCCTGATGGCTGGCAGACTGACAGCTGTACATTTGGCATGCTTTGGGATATTTTTGGTTTGTTTTTGTTTTGGGATTTTATTTTTCACTGCAGATTTATTCGGCAATGTACAGTAAATTTTATACACTTCATCAAGTTTATGAATAAAGAACCATTTAAAGAAGTTTAGCCTTCCTAATTTGGAAGTTTTAAATTAGAATTGTGATAAATTATGAAACAGTATTTTCTTCAAGCCAATTTTTGATATACTTCAAAATAACTTACCCATGTAAGTTTCTAATAGCTTTAAAAACTTGCTAAATTTTATTTAAATGATTCAGGACTTCTCAAAACTCCAAACTCATTGCCCTTGAGTTGAGTCTAAATCACAGGACTCAAGAAAATAAAGATCCTTTAAAAACACTCT